ACGGATATCACTTACAGTTCGCGTCTGCTTCTCGAGCGCCAGCAACGAGTCCAACGCCTCCTGCAGTTTGCCCTCCTATTCATCGCAAGAGGGATCAGTTAAGTGTGGTGTCAAATGTGGTGACACTCTATGCGAGACAATATCAATGGATACAAACTTTGGCCAATTGCTGACACGTGGGGATCCGCTCGTCAACGGTGTTGCTGTAGTCCACTTCCATCTTCAGGAGGCGTCCCCCGTCGTACGTCAGGTCGTTGGCCATGGTTTGCGTCAATCGGTGTCTTAATTATCACTTCAAATGAGTCCCAAAAAAGCAGACAATGTTTGAGTGAAATGTTAGACAAAAATACTGCAAATCATTGCATGTATTGATGGCAACGCTAACGCCATCTGACGCGCGATTTGTTAGCATTGACTCGACTTTTGTTTCGCAAAACTTGTGGTTTCACAGAATATTCTGTGATTTAATACAGTATTCATGTATATATTTTTCCTTAAATTCTTGCAATTTTTTTCAAAATTTTATTAATATAATTTTTATTAATGTGGATATTTTTATTAATATAAAATGTGTGTTTAGTTAACTAATTATATTTTATATCACATATACTGGAGGACTGTTTGGTCTGTGGTTTGGCACTAATGGCAAAGACTTCATCATTTGGTTCATACATACAATTCATTTGGTTTACAAATAAATACCACCAATACTTCACTGATAGAGTGCATGTCATCCCACATATTAACTCACAAATAAATTTAAAATTAATTAATTCATAATCATTATATTATTGTTATATTATATATAATTGTTTTTATTATTTAATATATTATATAAATGAATTTTCAGTATTACAAAATATCGTGTATTTATAAATTATATTACATTGCTTATTCAATATACTGTATATTTCATATGAATATTTAAATTATTTAATTATATTTTCAAATAAACTCCTTATTAAAATTGCTATAAAATTGTAAAAATAGTGTAGTATTTAAATAAAAAATTATATCTAAAATTAAATAAAATACGAAAACATTTGTATTAAACGGTATTCTCTGGGATGTGTTTATTGGAGAGGTTTGAGCCGAGAATGGTATTCGCGTTGAGACTACAAACGGTGCACTCGTTTGACGGCTGTCTCGTCTCCTCACAACTGTTGCTCTTTTTGGCGACGAAATCAATGAAACTGAGGCCACGATTGACGTGGTTTTGGTGGTTAGACACGA